CATCATGTTTTGAAGGTTGGAGGCCACGTGGGTGGGTGCTTCACTTCTCTTTATGGCCGAGCACAGGCCTAGCTTGGAGATAGTGTGGGTGCCGCTCTGACCACCACAGCGAAGCGACTGTCGCTATAAAGCCAGTCACATGCATTTCAGGTTTGGTAGTGCATATGCCAGCTATGTTTGTTCTAGACTGCAGTCTATAAAGTGTGCAACAACGTGATGAAAAATTATGGTGGCAATGACCAACATGGGACACAGAGACAGGAAGTGAGCACGTGCTGTTGGAAAAATGGCGGCCACAGACTTGCTGGGCTCAGGGCCGTCACAAACCTTCCACTTGTAAAAAGCGCAGGATCTGTGACACTCAGTAAAGTGAAGGGCTGTGAAATGAGGGGTGCCTGTAGTCTCTGTCGTGGGACCACATTTTGTCTCTCCATCATCTGCTCATGGATGCTGGGTTTTCATGTCATGTTTTCACCAGCAGAGGCAAGCCAGGCAGGGGACCCCAGTTCCTGTGTGTGTCTCTGTGAGTGAGGCTGGGGGCACGGGGGATGGGGTGCCACCCCCTGGCCTCCTCTCCGTGGACCTGTGTGTATGGCAGCATGTGAAAGACTTTGAGGATTTCCATCATGTGTGAGGTCTCCTGGCAGCCTCGGGGTGAGGGCTGACTTCTGCCGGCCAAGCCCTGTGGAGCCCGAAGGTCACACGCTTGCTGTCAGACCCACTGCTGGGGCTTGAGGGGAGCCCTTGCCGGGCCTCACTTTACTCTGCTGTGACCCCCTCCTTCCATCTGCTGGCGCTGATGAAGACTTCCATAGGTTTGACAAAGGGGTGGTCATGGCTCATGCATGTGTTAGATTTTGAAAAACAATATTTAAACTGTTCAGTATTACCAATATTTAATCCATTAGGTGATGTCTTAGAGGAATCCAGATTTCTGGTAGCTTTTGAAACACGGAAAGATCTGGAACAATTTTACCCATGGGCCCTCAGGATACTGGGTGGTCGGAGAGGAGTAGCAGCCCCTGCATTTGGAGGGGTGTGTGACCCCCCGCAGCGCCCACTGTCCTTCTCCCACCCTGTCCACCTGGCTCCTAGACCTTCTCCACACTGCCCGCTGTGATGGTGGTGCAGGTGCTAAGGGAACAAAGATGGACGGCCCCTTCCCTGACCCAGGAGCTCGCCGTCGACTCAGCGCCCAGGAGGGAACAGTGTCCAGGAGGGTGTGGTCACTGCACCCTGGTGCCAGCCAGCAGAAGAGTTCAGGGCTTGTCTTCCGGGTTCAAGTCCCAGTGTTGCTATTCACTGACTGTGGGGCTTCTGGCAGCTTACGAGCCTTCTGCGCCTCAGTTTCTCCATCTATAAAATGGGGCTGACAATGGATTTGCCTCTTTTATGTGAGGGTGGAATAAGGTAAAATGTGTGACCGTTGAGAGCTGTGCCTGGTGCGTGGTCAGTGCCACATAAAAAAACAAAACAAAACAGAACAACATTGCCATGGAGTCAGTTCTGACTCGTAGCCACCCCCACTGGGTTTCCGAAGCAATAAATCTTTACGGAAGTAGATGGCCCAGTCTTGCTTCTGCGGAAGGGCTGGTGGGTTTGAACCACCACCCTTCTGGTTAGCAGTCAATGCCTTAGGCACTAATAAAAACATAAGCATTTTTCAGTTCTGTGTGTGTGCAGAGCCACAAGGGTGTCCCTCCACCCCAGGAACCTCGGCTTCTCCCATTGGGAAGACCAGGCACGCCAGTGTGTGACGTCCTTAGTGCAGGACCGCCGACTTCCCCTGTGGAAGCTGGTGTGGGGCCGGCTCCACCTGTCCGCTCACCTTGGAGGAGCCCTGAGGAGGTGGCACGTGGGCCAAGGGTCTGGTGGCTGATTTAACTCTGTGCATGAGAAGCCTGAAGTCTGCCCTTTATGTTAAATCTCCCGTGTTTGATTCTCGGTGGTGAATTCAGCTTGTCCTACTTCAGTGCCGTGTAGGTCAAACAAGACACAGCCGTGGCTGCCAAGGCTCTCCCCTCATTGTTCAGACGGGGAAACTGAGGCTCAGAGAGGTGACTGCTGGCCCAGCTGGCCTAGCGGGGGTGCTGGAAGCCCAGTACCTCCAGATCTGCGCAGACACCCCACCACCTCCTGGGTCTCTGCCTGCCGGCCCTGGCTGTTCGAGGACAGTGGGGGAGGCTGTCCTTGTCTTGGAAGGCCGTATCCAAAAGAAGCTGGAAGGTGATGTGAGCCAGCTGGGCCACCTCACTCTGTGACATTGGCCTGTGTGTGTTTATCTGATGGGCAGGGAGCTGGGCCTGGGAGAAACGGGGCTGTGAGCCTGGTGGAGGCTGATGACGCAGCCAGGCCAGGTTGGGGGATGTGCCGTACCCCTGGGAAGCCAGAGAGTGAGCGTTGGACCTCCTCTGATGTCCCAAGGGAGAGAGTCATCGTTAGCATCAGCTCCAAGCTGATTCCTAGGACGTGCACGTCAGATACACCTCCTCTCTCCATGTGTTTCACTAATTCTGGCAGCAGCCATCCCTCTCATAACACCCTCTACTCCTCTCCTGGGTCCGACAGTTCATTGCAGTGGCCACACGGAGCTCACAGACCATTCTCACAGTTAGGAGGTTTATTACAGAAGTACCAGGTCACAATTCAGGATCGGAAACGACTCAGGCTACAGTTCTTCCTCAGAGTGGCCTCTTCTCAGCCATACCTGCAGGCACACCACTCTCTGGCCTTCAGCCTGGTGGCCACTTGGCCCAGCCGCTGCTTTGCTCGGGCTAGTGTTGCAAAGCCGTTTAGCTCTGCCAAGTGCCCAGAGGTGCCCCGTTTCACCAGGAAGCCTCCTGCCTGAAGGCGCATAGCTGTCTCGAAGCCGTCCGGCCCTCTCGCAGTGTGGATCGGCATGCGCAGTGAAACCACCTTGTGCTGTGGGCCAGGAAGCCACGGTGCTGTCTTGGGCTGGTCTCTGGTTCTGCTGCTATTGTTCAGCCTCAGCTTCTTGATGCGTCCTGCCATCTCAGGTGTTACAGCCCTCTCCCTCCATCTCCTGGGTCTAGGAGGTTCTCAGCACAGGATCCCAGCTTCAAAGGACATGTTTCACCCCCATCTCTTTGCTTCTGGGATGGCTTACTTTAAGCCTGTTGCTTTGTTGTGTGCTGTCAAGATGGACCCAACTTATAGTGACCCCTCCTTGGGTTTCCAAGGTAGTATCTATCACTACGGAAGTAGATTGCCCAGCCTTCCTTCCGAGGAATGGCTGTTGGGTTTGAACCGCCAGCCCTCTGGTTAGCAGTCAAGTGCCTTAGGTACTAGGCTACCAGAGCTTCTTATTTTATTTTAAGCCTACTGGGTAGCAAAACTGAGAAGTCATTAGGGATCCGTACACCTTATTTGTATGATCCCACTCTGTGGTAGTTAAGTTTGTGTGCCAACTTGGCTGGGCCTGGGTGCCATGCACCTTATTTGCATTATTAGCAAACCATCCAGTCTCTTTGGTGGGCTATAAGCACCTCATTTGCATATGAAAGTGATCCACTACAGCACAGACATCTCTGACGGGCACATTCGCTGGGTGGGCTCCAGGCCTTTCAAGAAAATAAGTTGTTGCTGAGCTTTGAAAATTGGGAGCTTTCACCTTCATATGGGGTGTGCACTTACGTCAGGTAGATACACTCCTTGGGAGAACAGAAGGGCAGTGTATGCACAGGGGGACAGCTCCGGGGGCAGGAGGGCATGAGAAGGAATGGCACAGGGAGGAGGTATCTATGCAGAGGAAGTGGGAAGAGAACTGTTACATTGTGGGAAATGGCAGTCAATGTCATGAGACAAAATGTGTATGAACTGCTGTATGGAAAATGAAATTGCTCTGTAAACTTTGACCCAAATCACAATAAAAATTTTTTTTTAAAATTGGGAGCTTTCCCATAAATGCATATTTCTGGCTCTTCATGAAAAGCTGCTATTTGCATCTCCTTGTCACCACCAAGCACTGTGCCCCAGGCACCCTGGGTCCTCACCGCCCTGCAGCTCCCGTCAAGCAGTCGCTGCCCCAGGGCCTTTGCACTGGTTGCAAAGGTTCCTCTCTGGGGATCTACACAGTTCTCACCTCTCCCACTTTAGTTTCTATTTATTTCATTGGTGTTTATTTTCTTACATTCCCCCACCTCACTATCCCACTTAAAACTGCAATCTTTTTCCCCTTTTGCGTTGTTCCCCCTCCCCGTCACAGCAGAGCTGTTACCTTCACTGTTTGATGCCTGTCTTTCTCCGTACAGGGTGGGGCATTGGGGTCTGTTTTGTTCACTGTCCTACCTGCAGCTTTTGTAGCAGTGCCTGGCAGCTAGTCGGCGCTCAGCATTGTTTGTTCCATGAATGAGTTAGTGAATGAATGAATGCAGAAATGAGTGAGTGAATAAGTGAATGAATGAGTGAGTGAGTGAATTAATAACTGAATAAATGAGTGAGTGAATATGTGAATGAATGAGTGAATAAATGAATGAGTAAGTGAGTGAATGAATGAGTGAGTGAACAAATGAGCAAGTGAGTGAATCAACATGTGAATGAATGAGTGAGTGAATGTGAGAAAGAATGAATGAATGAGTGAATGAGTGAATGAGTGAGTGAATAAATGAGCAAGTGAGTGAATGAGTATGTGAATGAGAGTGAGTGAATGAGTGAGTGGATGACTGAGTGACCGCATTTGGCTGCAAAGAGCCTGCATTCCTGTAAGCTGCGGTCGCCTGGCAGCACCTCTCTTGTTGGGGCCCCCATTTGCCAAGTCCCCTGACCAGCATTCTCTGTCATCATTAAGACAAATTAAAAAAAAAAATTGTGAATGTATCACCTGTCAACTTCACTCTTAATTCTGTAAACTGGGCAGTGGGGCAGTGTGTGGGAAGGGCACTCCCTCCACCTTCAGTCCCCAAGGTCCCACCTGGGAGTGCATGGTGGGGGGCCGGGCACCCATGGTGCACCCCACTGACCTGCTTCTCTCGCCCCTGCAGAATGTGCGCATTGACCCCAATAGCCTGTCCTTCAACATGTGGAAAGAGATTCCCGTCCCATTCTACTTGTCTGTCCACTTCTTCCACGTGGTCAACCCCGAAGAGATCCTGAAGGGCGGAAAGCCACAGGTGCAGGAGCGCGGGCCCTATGTGTACAGGTGAGCCCATGCACAGGTGAGGGTCTGTGCAGGTGAGGACGTGGGCAGGTGAAGCTGGCTGAGATCAGGGCCCAGAATCCCAGGTGGGTGGCCCTGACCCTGGCCCTCAGAGTAGATTGAGGATGGGGCTGCCAGGCTGAGCCCCCGAGGCTGTTCCAGAAGCAGACCATGCATCGCAGGGGAAAGGGATGGTGCTGGAGGGTCCTCTGTGGGTCCGTGAGACACAGTGATGTGGCTCTGGGTGGCGGGTGTGTGTCACACACAGACACACATGCACACCCAGGGCTGGACTCCAGGCAAGCAGGGACCTCCTCCCCAAACCTGAGCCAACAGCTCGGCCTTGATCATTCATTCATTTATTCAACACATTAATTCAGGGTCAGGGTGGCTACAGGTAATAACTGAGGAAATTAACGAATGATAGGATGTCAGAGAGTGAGTGTCAAGTGTTAGAAAAATCCAGCCGGGTAAGGGTCTAGCCTTTGCACATGCGTCTGTGTGTGTGTCCACAGTGAGTGGTAGTAGGGTGATCTGACAAGGCTTCTTGGCCTTTTGTGTGAGGGAGGGAGCCATGGGGAAAGGGGTCCCGGCAGCAGGAACAGCATGTGCCAAGGTCCTGAGGTTGGAAAGAGCGTGATCTGTGAAGCAGCAGGGAGGCCAGGGTGATCAGGGTGGCCTTGTACCTGGATGTGGCCTTAGAGAAGTGACTTTGCTCCGTCCAAACCTCGGTATGTCCATCTGCAGAATGGGGATCATGACAGCATGGTGTCTTCTTCATGGGGTTATCAGGACACTTGTCTGATGAGGCACTCGAAGCAGTTAGGCAGGTGTGATTAAGACAGTGTGCCCGGCACGAGCTGGACACCTGATGTGGGTGGATTTGCCTCTTTCCTGAGTGCTGTAACTCATGGAGTCCTCACACCATCCCCTGTTATCATTCCTGTGTAACAGGCAAGCATTCAGGGCTCAGAGGCTGACCGTCCCTGGCAGCAGGGGTGGGATGGGACCCCAGGCCTGGCCGTGTTTATCTCTGAAACCTTTGGACCAATAGCTGTGACTGATGGGGTCAAAAGGGCGTCCTCATTTCGTTTTTCCCAAGCTGCTCTGAGGATTCCTTCTTTATCTTTGGTTTTGGAAATGTCACTTACAAAGGGGAACCAATAAGGCTAAGCTCTGATTTCTTGGCAGAAACCATGCAGGCAAGGAGGCAATGGGATGACCCCTATAAAACTCTGAAAGAAAAAAAAAACTGCCAACCAAGAATTATTTAAAAGAACGAAATGAAACAAGAGAGTGTCCTCATTTCATCCTCTAAACACCAGCATGAAGCTGGGCTTGTTATTATTCCCATTTTATAGATGGGAAAACCGAGGCATGGATAGTGCATTGGTTTTCTGGGGCTTCTAACAGTACCTCCAATGGGGTGGCTGAGAACAACAGAGACTTACTCTCTCACAGTCCTGGAGGCCAGAGGTCTGAGGTAAAGGGGTGGGTACACTCATACTCCCTCCCAAGGATCTAGGGGAGACCCTTCCTCGTCTCGTCCCATTTCTTGTGGTCCCTGCAGTTTCTTGAAGTGTGACAGCCTCACTCCAGTGTCTGCTTTGTCTTCCCACGGCCATCTTCCCCAGCTGTCTGTCTCTGTGTCTCTTCTGCTCTTGTTATGAAGACACCAGTCATAAAGAGATGAGGACCCAGCCTAACAGAGGGTCACTGTTGGCACAATGGTTAAAGCATTTGACTGTTAACCAGAAGGCCAGTAGTTCAGACCTACCAGCTGCTCTGTGGCAGAAAAATGTGGCAGATAGCGACCCCTCCTTGGGTTTCCGAGGTGGTATCTCTACGGAAGTAGATTGCCCAGTCTTCCTTCCGAGGAGTGGCTGGTGGGTTTGAACTGCCAGCCTTCTGGTTAGCGGTCAGATGCCTTAGGCACTGTGCCACCAGAGCTCCCCCATAATGATGACAGCCTTGAAAACTCTATGGAGCAGTTCTCTTCTATCCTCGATACTTGCTGTGAGTTGGGATCAACTCTTTTTTGATGGCAGTGGGTTTGGTTGTTTTCTTAATGACCTCATCTTAACTAATTACACCTGCCAAGACCCTCTTTCCAAACAAGGTCATGTTCACAGGACCCGGGATCAGGACTATCTTTTCTGGGGACACAGTTCAACCCGTAAGAGGTAGTGAGAGTTGGAGACAGACTCTGAGCCCCAGCCACCTGGCTTATGACTCTGAGGTGCATGCTGCAACCCCTGTCCTACTCTGCCTCCCTGGACAAAGCAGGGGTGCACGGTTGGAGGCTGGTGTGGTCCCCGGGGCTCCATGATGGGAGGCTGTGGCATAGCTGAGTAGAGGAGGGGGTGGCTCTGAGCCTGGCAGAGGGAAGGAGGGCAGCAGCAGCCGGCTGGGTGGTGGCCTGGGTCCTGTGGTGGGCGGGCACGAGGCAAAGGCTCGGAAGAGGTAGCCAAGCTGTGCCTTGGCTGAGTTAAGGTGGAGATGCTGTGAGCATCCCAGGGCCCCAGCTGGAAGGCTGGTATTGGCCCCAGGGTGGCAGCCCACCCACCCCTTCTCCCCCACGCAGGGAGTTCAGACATAAGAGTAACATCACTTTCAACGACAACGACACCGTGTCCTTCCTTGAGTACCGCAGCTTCCGGTTCCAGCCAGCCAGGTCCCGCGGCTCGGAGAGCGACTACATCGTCATGCCCAACATCCTGGTCCTGGTGAGGCTGCCTCGGGGCCCGTGCCAGCCCACACGCCCCTCAGCCCCAGGTCTTCGTCCCTTGCCCAGGGCAGTCCTGGGTGGGTGGAATGTGGCAGCTGTCAGGCCCGTCTCCATCCAGGCTGTGTCCAATGCCCCATGAGTTTGGTGTTTCCATGGTGTGTCCACCTGTCTGGTTGGAAACTTCTAGCCAATGTCATTTTCTTTTCCGTTCCAACCTGTAAACCTAAAGTCTCCTAAAGCAAACGCTGGGTGGGGGCCGGATTGGCACATCCTACCTGGGTCTGCAGCGTGTGGGGCAGGCGTGGGTGAAGCCTCTGCTCTGTGCAGCCCGGGGTCTAGGCACCGCTGGCAGTCCCTGACTGCTTGCTGTGTGACTCCGCCCCCGCCTGCAGGGTGCGGCCATGATGATGGAGAACAAGCCCATGAGCCTGAAGATGCTCATGACCTTGGCGTTCAGCACCCTCGGCGAGCGCGCCTTCATGAACCGCACCGTTGGCGAGATCATGTGGGGTTACGATGACCCCCTCGTGAACCTCATCAATAAATACTTCCCAAGCATGTTCCCCTTCAAGGGCAAGTTCGGGTTGTTCGCTGAGGTAAGTGCCGGGCCTGTGTGTGTGCTCTGTTGACAGCCTGCAGACCGGGCTACCAGCTTGCTCTGGCACTGGCTGTTGGTGGCAATCTATGGGCTGTGAGTTGAAAATGGCACACAGCCTCACCCAAACTGGCTCACGCAAAATAGGGAACTGAAAAGTAGTGATGAATTCAGGTGCAGCTTGATCCAGCACTCAGCTGACGTTACTGAAGTTGAGCTTCGAAAACTGGAGGCTGAGTCTAGAAGGGGAGCGGAGGCTGGGGAGGCGGGTCACAGATTCCTCCTGGTCAGGCTCCTGGTAACCTGGAAGGGGCAGTGATTAGCCTTCACAGCCACGTAGGAGCATCTTCACGTAGGAGCATCTGAGCTGAGGCAGTTAGGGCACATGCGCTGGGCGCCACTTCCAGGGGGCACCACTGAGCAGTTTCTGTTAACCCGTACAGCCCAACCTCCTTCCTCAAGGATGGTGGACACAGGTGTGGCAAGGGGTGGGCAGAGGGAGGCGTTTTCCCCCAGCGCAAGGCTAAGGAGGCACCAGACGAGGTGTGGGACGACATTGCGAGGCGTCACAGGTATGAAAGGCACTTGACCGAGAAGCTGGACAAGAGAGGGGAGGCATTTCTGCTGACACATCGTCTGGAAGCTATCATCTGGAAATTGGGGTGTGGGCGCAACATGGAGGAGATTACCCCGTTACCCTTGCTAGGCCCCTGCATGTAGGGTCTGACCCCTGACCTCTGGCCCTTGGCTTTGTTCTACGCCATCAGCCACAGGTTGGACGAGGTGTTGCCCCAGACGCAGCCCTCTATCTGAGCTCTGCCAATCCGCTGTCAGCTGTCGGGCGTGTGGGGTTGTGATTCAAAACGTTTCGATCAGGACGACAGGCTGAGCGTGAGGGCATATTGGGCAAGTTTGGGGTAACGCCATGGTTCTGTAAAAGCACTTTGTGAGCTTTGCAGAGCTCTGCGAGTGAAAGTTACTACAAAGTCGCTAGCATAAAGAGAGAAGAACAACACAGAGCCGCTGCCGCCAAGCCGTGGGCTGATTCCTTGCTGTTGGGTTGGTTGCGACTCCTGGCAGCCCTGTGGGTGTCGGAGGAGACTGTGCGCCGTAGGGTTCCCACTGGATGATTTTTCGGAAGCTTGCCTCCGAGGCACCTCTGGATGGACTCAGACCTCCAGCCTTTCATTCAGCAGCCGAGCAGTTAACTGTTTGCATCACTCAGGAACATAACACAGATCCCAGAGCCCCCAGAATAGTAACAGTACAGAGGTGAGCTATTCTGTGCTGGTGAGACCACACCTTTAGGGGACCCAGATTCCTACTTCTAAGGCGTGCCGGGGTGGTCCGCAGGTGGTGCAGTGGTTAAGACATTTGGCTGCTAACCCAAAGGTTGGTGGTTTGAACCCAGCAGCCACTCCGTGGGAGAGAGATGAAACTGTTTGCTTCTGTAAAGATTGACAGGCTTGGAAACCATACGGGGCAGTTCTACTCTGTCCCACAGGGTCGCTGTGAGTCAGGATTGACTTGCTGGCGGTGGGTGTGGCTTTTGGGTGGGTGGCATAAATGGTTAAATGCTTGACTACCAGCTGAAAGCGGAAGCTCGAACCCGCTCAAAGCCTCCTTCCAAGACAGACCTACTTCCGAAAGCCTTGGAAACCCTCTGGGGCTGAGTTCTCTGACGCACGTGTGATCGCCATGTGTCGGAATGGACTCAACAGCCTCCAAGAACAGTGAAGACTCCTGCTTCTCTGCCCTGTCATCTTTGGGTGGGCACGCTTTCACATTCCAGATGACCTTGTGGTTCAAGGTGGCGGCTCGGCTGGTTGGCCAGAGGTCCCGTGGCAGAGCGTTTGTTTAGGTTGGAGTCGGGTGGGGGGGGTTTGTGCCTACCGTGTACTGGGAGGAGAGCTGGACTCCCCTTGACGAGGGAGAGAAGGTGGGATGCCCTAGGGAGCCCCAGCTCTCCTTCACTCTTGATGCCTCGCTGCTGGGAGGCAGCAGTGGACGAGACGACCAGGTCCCTGCCCTCCTAGTGGAGGGGGAGGCGCAGCCTGGAACTGGACGGGTGGGCTGGTGGGCAGACGGGGGCCCTCCCTCCCCAACCCCGTGGGCCTGATGACGCTGCTCTCTGCTACTCTCTGCAGCTCAACAACTCCGACTCCGGGCTCTTCACCGTGTTCACAGGCGTCAAAAACTTCAGCAGGATCCACCTGGTGGACAAGTGGAACGGGCTCAGTAAGGTGAGAGGGAGGGCTGGGGGACGGGACGCCAGGGTGAGGAGGACCTCTGGGCTGGCCACTCCACGTCTTCTCCTAAAACTCAGGAGGGTGGGTGACATCTGTCCCGAAGCAGGGACACCTGAGGGAGAAGAACACTTGGTGCAGGATTTTACCTGTGGTGATGCCAGCGGGGAAGTCCTTAGCCGCTGAGCAAAAGGTTGGCGGTTCGAGTCCACTCAGAGCACCTCAGAAGAAAGGCCTGGTGATCAGTTTGGGAAAAGTCAGCCTCTGAGACCCCGTGAAGCACAGCTCTGCTCCCACACACGGGGGCGCCAGGAGTCAGAACTGACTTCATGGCAACTGGTCTGGTTTAGTTTTTTAAAAGCTCCACGAAACTCTGTTCACTGCCGACCTCTGGGGACAGTGCAGAACAATAACTACCCAGTACAGCTACTTATTACGACCTACTTCCTGCAATTACTACTTCCTGAGCACAGGGTAATGCCAGGAATAGAGTCCTTTCCTCCACTGGTTCTGAATTTATGAGGATGTTTTTAAAATCCTCTGCTAGGAACACAGGAAGACATTCACATTTGAAAGTAAACCATGGAGCACTCCATAAAGCACCTTTATACCACCTTACCCCCCTCCCCCACTCCCCACCCTTCCACAGGGGAGACCCTCAGGTATCACTGGGGCATGTCTTCCTGTCTGTCTTTATCCACTCACACAAGCTGATGTCCACACAGAAATACGGCGGTTTTGTCTTTGCACATCAGCAGATCCACACTGTGTATTGACTTGCAGCTTGCTCTTTCCGTCTCAGGGGCCTTTCCTCACTGTGCATGAAACAGACGGTAAGCGGTATGGCCGCCCCTCCGTGGCCGCTGCTCAGATCTGTAAGGACTCTGGGGGCTGGGGCAGACTGTACCCCACAGCGGCAAGATCACTACCTACAACCATTCTAATGGCCACTATCGAGGCGCCCTGGTGGCGGAGTGGTCAGAGTGGGAAAAGCACCACAGGAGGAAGGAGCCCTGGTGGTGCAAAGAGTCAGACACTTGGCTGCTAACTGAAAGGTCAGCGGTTCCAACCCACCAGTGGCTTCGTGGGAGAAAGACCTAGTGGTCTGCTCCATAATGATTACAGCCTGGAAAATCCTGTCAGACAGTTCTGCTCTGGAAACGTGGGGTCGCCATGAGTCAGAACCCACTTGTAGGCACCCAACAAACAATAAGAGTTTGGTCAAATCCATGGCCATCAAGTCTGTTGTGACCCACAGCGCCCCTAGAGGACAGAGTGGAACTGCCCACAGGGTCTCCAAGGCTGTCAATCTTCACAGAAGCAAAGCCCAAGCCACACCCACTGCCATGGAGTCCATTCTGACCCACAGCGCCCCTAGAGGACAGAGTGGAAGTGCCCCAAAGGGTCTCCAAGGCTGTCAATCTTCACAGAAGCAAAGCCCAAGCCACACCCACTGCCATGGAGTCCATTCTGACCCACAGCGCCCCTAGAGGACAGAGTGGAACTGCCCACAGGGTCTCCAAGGCTGTCAATCTTCACAGAAGCAAAGCCCAAGCCACACCCACTGCCATGGAGTCCATTCTGACCCACAGCGCCCCTAGAGGACAGAGTGGAACTGCCCCACGGGGTCTACAAGGCTGTCAGTCTTTCCAGATGGCCTCATCTTTCTCCTGTACTTGGCTAGCAGATTTGAACTACTGGCAACTTTTTGGTTGACAGCTGAGCGCTTTAACCACTGCACCACCAGGGCCCCCAACAACAGTACAAAAGTGACAAGTCGCTTCATCCTGTCCATGTCTGTTCCTAAAGAAACTGTTCTGATCCATTGTGTTTTGAGAGCTCCTGGCGACCCCCATTATAATGTGAAACGTTTTATCGCACCATTTCTCAACTTGATCTGTTTGTAAGCATGTCTGTGGACGTTCTGTGTGGCGAATGACCGTGTCCTTGTTCTGCCTCCCACTCCCCAGCCCCTGTGTTCTTGCTCTATGCAGACTGGAGAGGGGGACATGCCCATCTGACAGACGAGGTCACTGAGGCCTGGCAAAGTCAACAAGGGCGTGGCAAGCGGCAGTGGGCACTGTCTGCCGCCGCTGTGCACGCCCTGTCGCCGAGTGCCCTGGTTTCTGTGGAGGGACAATGTTGGGAATGAGAAGCAAAGTCCACGCCAGGGTCCTCGGCGCGTGATGCTGCAGGTCCCAGTCAGGCAGGGACACCAGAGAGCGTCTCAGAGACCTGGCTGTCCTGACTGGCCATGTCTGAATGCTTCTCCCCAGGTCAGCTTCTGGCATTCCGACCAGTGCAACATGATTAACGGAACTTCCGGACAGATGTGGGCGCCGTTCATGAGTCCCGAATCCTCGCTGGAGTTCTACAGTCCTGAGGCCTGCCGGTAACCGCTCAGACGGAGCCTTCTGCACCTCCTGCTCAGTGGGCGTCAGCTTCCTCTGCGGCTCACGGCGCTCGGGGAGGCCCTGGGCAGTGCAGCCATTAACGGTTAAAGCTTGAGAGTTTGACCCCACTCAGAAGCCCTCTGAAGAAAGGCCTGGGCATCTGCTTCTGAGCGATCACCCGTGACCATCTCAGGAGTGTGGCTGTGCTCTGACACAACTGGGGGCGCCAGGAGTCCGGGCTGACTCGACAGCAGCTGGTTTAAGTGCTGTTGAGTTGACCCCAACTCATGGCCGTCATCGTCGTGAAAGCAGGCGGCCAGGCCTTTTTCCTGAGCAGCCACTCGGTGGGTTTGTATTGCTAACCCTTCTTACGGAGCTACCAGCTGAGTGCTTAACTGTTTGTACCAGCAGGCTCCTTTCTCCTGGCGCTTGGAGAGTGCTTGGGGCCCTTGTTATTCACTAGCCCTTCTAGCGCCATCTTGAATTTTCTTTGTTTCCACCACGGAGAGCCAAACTCCTACAGCTGATGCTTCTGTGCAAAGAGCGGCCCCTGGGAGTTTGGTGGGGAGGGTGGAGGGTAGGAATGGATCAAGGCAGCGGGGGGCTGCGTAAGGAAGACAGGAGGGGCTCTCTTCCCACGCCATTTGGCCAGCTGCCCTGATTACCATTTTGGGGGCTAAGACATGCCTCTCATCACCCAGCAGGCCCTGAACCTCCAGCTGTCAAGCCTTGAAGGGTTAACCACAGTGCTCGGGGCTAACAGACCCGTGGCCCCAGCCTGTGGACCTAGCGCAGAGCAGCCCCTGGACCCCTTCTCCGGGTGCTACCCTGTCCTCTGTGCAGCCTGGTCATTCTGGGGACATCCTTTGCTTGGCACTTACCTGTTGTGACCCTTGGCTTACCTGCCTTCCCTCAGCAAACTGAGTTTCACCTCTGTGCTGGGGACATGGCAGGCAAAGTCTCCCTTCTCTGAGCACTGATGTCCTATGGGGAGGTTGTCAGCAGATAATAAACGAGAGGGATTGAGAAAGTAGAGAAGTGCCTGTGCTCCGTGTGGGTTTGCTTTTTTAATGTCACTTTAGATTTAGAGAAAAGCTGCGTGAAAAGGACAAGAGGCTCCCTTGTGCCCTCTGTCCCATCCCCCTGCTGTGTCTGTTTGCCCGTCTGCTTTCAGATCTCCCGCCTCTCGCTCTTTGTGCGTTTTCCCTTGAATATTTGAGAGTCAGCTGGAGACAGCGTGCCCCTTTACGCCTAGATACTTGGGCATGTGTTTGCAAAAACAAGGATAGTTTTGACGTTAGCACACTATAGCTGTCGACATGGGGAACTTGAACTCTGATAGGCTACTCTTGTCTGATTTGGTGAGGGCCAAGGAAAGTACAGTCAAGTTATATGTGTAATTAGAAATTGCTAGTAGCTACATTATAAGCAAAAGTACAAAGGAACAGATGGAGTGAATTTTAACAATATATTTCACTTGACCTACTAGCTCCAACATGTCCTCATTTCAACATGTAATCAATGCAAAACACTGTCAAAGAGACATTTTGCATCTTTTCTGCTGTGTTAAGTCTCAGAAATTTGTTGTGTCATTTCTACTGTGGCGTCCGTGACTGGTGTAGTTAGCGTGCTTGGCTGCTAACTGGAAGGTTGTTGGTTTGAGGTCACCCAGAGGGGCCTTGGAAGGAAGCCCTGCTGATCTCTCCGGAATGTCGGCCCCCAGCAGCTGGTGGAGCACAGTTCTGCCCTGGCACACACGGCGTTGGCATGAGTCAGAGTTGACTCCACAGCAGCTGGTTTCATTGGTGGTTTGCGCTTACAACCCATCTTGACTCAGAGAAGCCCATTTCAAGGGCCACACACATGCGGTTGTGGTCACTGTATTGGACAGACTGGGTCTGATCCACAGTCCATATTCAAAATGGAGGTTTTGAGAAAGCGCAGGTGGGGAACGGATGGAGGGTGAAGAATGAGAGTGTGTGTGTGGGGGTAGTGATGCAGGTACCTGGGCACGTGACAGCCGGACCAAGACCCTGTTGAAGAAGCCACGTCTGAGTGAGGATTGGAGGGAAGAGCATTCGGGTAGAGGGAGCGGCAGATGCAAAGGCCCTGAGGCAGGAACAGCAAGGAGGCCCCTAGTGTGAAGAGAAGTGCTGAGGGGGTAAGCAGAGGGGAGCCAGGAACTGGTGGGGCCAGACCCTGTGGACCTCATGGGCCGTGGTGAACGTCGGACATTATATTCGCTCCACTGGAAACAGGCACAGGTTTAAGCAGGGGAGTGAGGGATGTGCTCTTGTTTCAAAGATCCAGCTGGTGTAGGGAGTTGATTGGCAGGGTGAGGGCAGCTCTCAGGCAGGCAGACAGTTCCCAGAGCAAGAGGTAAGGGCCAGTGACCCTGTTGGTGGCCCTGCAGGTGAAGAGAAGTGGGTGCATGGGGGCTGCGTTGGGCAGTCACCTGGTTCTGGGGCTCACCTCTCTGCATCTCTGCCCCTCACAGGTCCATGAAGCTGGTCTACAAGGAGGCAGGGGTGTTCAGAGGCATCCCCACCTACCGCTTTGTGGCCCCCCCAACCTTGTTTGCCAACGGGTCCGTCTACCCCCCCAACGAGGGTTTCTGCCCGTGCCTGGAGTCTGGGATCCAGAATGTAAGCACCTGCCGCTTCGGTAAGTGCTGCCCTTTCCCACCCCCACCCCCTCAATGGGTGATGGGGAGGCCAGAGTGCGGGTGTGTCATCCTGTTATCTGCTTGGGTATGTCAGTATTGTTATCTGCTCCCCTCTGAACTCTTGATAATCCCATTAGGCTGCAGATAAGGAGGGCAGTGGAAAGATAAGAATTGTGTATTAGTGGGTGCTGCAACAACACTCATTTATTATCTCCCAGCTCTGGAGGGCAGAAGTCTGACACTATCCGGGCTGCAATCAAGGGCTGCGTTCCCCTTGAAGGCCCCTGTGGCGTAGAGGCCCTGCTTTTCTTGGCTTGTGGCCCCCTCTGTCCATCTCCAGAGCCTCTCTCCATCTCCTCTATAGTCATAGCTCCTTCTCCTGCCTCCCTCTTCTAGTTTTTTGTTTTTAAATATTTTTGTGGTTCAGGGAAAGTTTTCAGAGCAAATGAGTTCCCCACTCAGCAATTTGTGCCCAGATTGTCCCGTGATATTCGCTGCAGTCCTCACAGGATGTCAGCTCTCTCCCTGTTTCCACTTGGGGTCTCCTGCCCCTTCCTGCCTTCTTAACTTTGCTTTTGAGCTAATGCTGTCCTTTGGGTCACGTACAGTGGACTCCTCCGAGAAGTGTGTTCCTCCCGGGTGTCATAGGCCTGTCTTTTATGTGACTGAAAGGTGATCTCCGGGAGTGGCTTCAGTTCTATCTCTTCAACTTTTAATAACCATGTGATGATGCTGGACCCACTTGGATACTGTCCTTATTTTAAGGTCATCTAGTTAGAACCTCTGGTGGCCTAGTGCCTAAGGTGTTTGACTGCTAAGCAGAAGGCTGGTGGTTCAAACCCACCAGTCACTCCGTGGGACAAAGATGTGGCAGTCTGCTTCTGTAAGGATTTTCAGTTTGGGGGCTTAGGACAAGGTCAATTTTGGGAGGGGCATTCTTTCGCTGACGACACTACTGATGTGTGCTAGAGGATAAGGCTTGGGGCAGAGAGTTCTTCCCCTCTCCCGGGACCAGAGAAACTATGATGGTCCCATTGTTCTGTCAGTCCTCTTGGCTGGTGGAGTGAGCTTTCATCTGATACAGGTGCTATTGCAAAACTTCCTCTGGCATCTTTGGTGGGTTTTGTTTGTTCCAGTCTCCAAGACACCCCCACTACATTTGTTCCATTTAGAGGCTTGGGGTTCAGCTTGATTCCCCCAATCCAGGACATCAGCTAAGCCCAGTTGGCTCTACTTCCAGAATTAGCCCTAAGTCCTTCCTCTCTCTTATCCCCACTGCCGTCTTGTGGTCCAAGCCACCACCATCTCTTACCTCGGTGACTCTAGACCCTTCCCAGGTGGCCTCCCTGCTGCATTGTTGCTGCCCTCAACCGCTTTCCCAGACTGTCCAGTGAGGTACCCACTAGCCTAGTGTGGCTACTTAAACTGCACTTGACTTGAATTTAAAATGCACTTCCTCAGTTGCACTGGCCACACCTCAAGTGCGCAAGAGCCACAGGTTGCCTTCTGTTGTTGTGGATTCTGTTGCATTGGCTCCGCCTCACAGAGGCCCTGTGATTGGCTCCGTCTCACAGAGGCCCTGTGATTGGCTCCGCCTCACAGAGGCCCTGTGACGACACAAGGAAGCACTGCTCAGTCCTGCGCCAGCCTCACAACCGTTGTGCTTCAGCCCATCACTGCAGCCACCATGTTGAGCTGTCTCATTGGGGGCGTCCTCTTTTTCACTGACCACACACTTTCCCAAGCATGATGTCGCTCTCCAGGGACTGCTCTTTCTTTCTTTTTTTTTTTTTAATTGTAATTTGGGTGAAAATTTACAGAGTGAGTTCACTTTCTATACAGCAGTTCACATACATTTTGTCTCATGACATTGACTACAATTTACCCCAATGCAACAGCTCCCCTCCCACTTCCTCCCGACAGTACCTCTTCCCTGTGTCCATCCCTCCATGCACTCCTGCTCCCTGAGCTGTCTCCCTGTGCATAAACAGCCCTTCTATTCTCCCATGAATGTTCTCTCCAAGGAGTGCATCTACCTCA